GACAGGTCAATGTGTATTTGGTGTGCTTCCTAAACAAAGAAATGATTGCAATCACAACCCCCCCACCCCCCCTCCAACTCTTTACCCGAACGTTCATGGCCCTCGTCCTCTAAAATAAGAAGAAAGGCAGAGCACATTGTTAGTCTGTGATTTAAACATCGTAGTGTAAAATGTTATTGTCTGATAAAAATTCAATTAAAGCAATTTACAGTATTACAGTGCTGCCTGTTTCAGGTAAGAGGTTTAAAGCAGGAGCAAGGTACATGGTTTGGGGTGTCGGAATAATGTGGTTAATCTGGGAGTGTAGGAATAGTATGGATAGTGTGAGGGTATAGGAATATGGCAGCTGGTCTAGGAGTGTAGGAATATGGAAGATGGTCTAGGGGTGAAGGAATATGGAAGATGGTCTAGGGGTATAGGAATATGGCAGCTGGTCTTGGAGTGTAGGAATATGGAAGATGGTCTAGGGGTGTAGGAATATGGCAGCTGGTCTAGGGGTGAAGGAATATGGAAGATGGTCTAGGGGTGTAGGAATATGGCAGCTGGTCTAGGAGTGTAGGAATATGGAAGATGGTCTAGGGGTGTAGGAATATGGAAGATGGTCTAGGGGTGTAGGAATATGGCAGCTGGTCTAGGAGTGTAGGAATATGGAAGATGGTCTAGGGGTGTAGGAATATGGCAGCTGGTCTAGGGGTGTAGGAATATGGCAGCCATTCCTTAGAGTGCAGGAATATGGTGATATCTAGTGCAGGAACATGGAAGATGGTCTAGGGGCGGAAGGAATTACGGAAGATATCTAGGGGTATAGGAATATGGCAGCTGGTCTAGGAGTGTAGGAATATGGAAGATGGTCTAGGGGTGTAGGAATATGGAAGATGGTCTAGGGGTGTAGGAATATGGTCTAGGAGTGTAGGAATATGGAAGATGGTCTAGGGGTGTAGGAATATGGCAGCTGGTCTAGGGGTGTAGGAATATGGCAGCTGGTCTAGGGGTGAAGAAATATGGAAGATGGTCTAGGGGTGTAGGAATATGGCAGCTGGTCTAGGGGTGAAGGAATATGGAAGATGGTCTAGGGGTGTAGGAATATGGAAGATGGTCTAGGGGTATAGGAATATGGAAGATGGTCTAGGGGTGAAGGAATATGTCAGCTGGTCTAGGGGTGTAGGAATATGGCAGATGGTCTACGAGTGTAGGAATATGGCAGATGGTCTACGGGTGTAGGAATATGGCAGATGGTCTACTGGTGAAGGAATATGGAAGATGGTCTAGGGGTGTAGGAATATGGGAGCTGGTCTAGGGGTGAAGGAATGTGGAAGATGGTCTAGGGGTGTAGGAATATGGCAGCTGGTCTAGGGGTGTAGGAATATGGAAGATGGTCTAGGGGTGAAGGAATATGTCAGCTGGTCTAGGGGTGTAGAAATATGGCAGATGGTCTACGAGTGTAGGAATATGGCAGATGGTCTACGGGTGTAGGAATATGGAAGATGGTCTATGGGTGTAGGAATATAGCTGGTCTATGGGTGTAGGAATATAGCAGCTGGTCTAGGGGTGAAGGAATATGGAAGATGGTCTAGGGGTGTAGGAATATGGAAGATGGTCTAGGGGTGAAGGAATATGTCAGCTGGTCTAGGGGTGTAGGAATATGGCAGATGGTCTACGAGTGTAGGAATATGGCAGATGGTCTACGGGTGTAGGAATATGGCAGATGGTCTACGGGTGTAGGAATATAGCAGCTGGTCTACGGGTGTAGGAATATAGCAGATGATCTAGGGGTGTAGGAATATGGAAGAGGATCTAGGGGTGTAGGAATATGGCAAATGGTCTACGGGTGTAGGAATATAGCAGAGGATCTAGGGGTGTAGGAATATGGCAGATGATCTACGGGTGTAGGAATATGGCAAATGGTCTACGAGTATAGGAATATAGCAGATGGTCTACAGGTGTAGGAATATGGAAGATGGTCTAGGGGTGTAGGAATATGGCAGCTGGTCTAGGAGTGTAGGAATATGGCAGATGGTCTACGGGTGTAGGAATATGGCAGATGGTCTACGAGTGTAGGAATATAGCAGATGATCTAGGGGTGTAGGAATATGGAAGAGGATCTAGGGGTGTAGGAATATAGCAGCTGGTCTACGGGTGTAGGAATATGGCAGATGGTCTACGGGTGTAGGAATATAGCAGCTGGTCTACGGGTGTAGGAATATAGCAGATGATCTAGGGGTGTAGGAATATAGCAGAGGATCTAGGGGTGTAGGAATATGGCAGATGATCTACGGGTGTAGGAATATGGCAAATGGTCTACGAGTATAGGAATATAGCAGATGGTCTACAGGTGTAGGAATATGGTAGATGGTCTACAGGTGTAGGAAGATGGCAGATGTTCTACGGGTGTAGGAATATAGCATCTGGTCTATGGGTGGAGTGATAATCCCATCACAATGAAGCGATTTGTGCCATATTTTGAAGGCAAAAATCAGTTCTGTGGCGACATTCTATGTTTGGAGGAATTGCCATGGTAACCGGTAGAATGTTTAGGTCAGAAGAGTTTCCATTTATTTTAAGCATTAAATACTCATTTGATTTGTTACTATAAAATACAGCAAAGTATGGGAGTAGCCTCCTTGTTCAGACTTGAATGGATTAATTAGATTATTAACATTATTAAATAGCCAGGAATTATTGGGAATTGAAAGTTTAGGTTACGAGCCAGGAATACAGACATGACGCCAGATCCCACAATCCCGTAGCTCCAATAACACATGAAGACATCATTATGTGGATAAGGGCAACGGCCACAATTTTATTAAAACGCCACAGCAATGACAGCATTTACATTTACAAATAATCTGACAGCGCTTGGGGTATTTATCCAACAGGTAGTTCTTCCACAATGCTTCCATGAACCCAAACGCTGTCTTTCTACTGCCATCAGCCTTTAGCTGACTGTGGCTCCCTAAGACAATTGGCATATCAGACTCTTTGTTTTACTACGCTTGCAAGGAACACTGCCATCGTGATGTCAACAACACCAGCATTACGTTCCCCCAGAACAGCCAGTGCAACTTCCACACCCCCTTGCAGACCCAAATGGAAGATGTCCATGCCGATAGGACACAGATGGACTGTACCTAAATTACGTAAACTACAAAATCAACAACTATCAGAACAAATTCAAAATAACACACTGACAGCAGTCTGTTCTTTTAAATATCTAGGTATGTTGCCTGACCCCAATTTATCCTTTGGCCTTCACACTGAAAAAATCTCTTCAAAACTTTACCCAAAACTAGGTGCTCTGTACAGAATCAAATCCTGCCTAAGCCATACAGTAAGGAAACGGATAGTGAAACAAATGCTAATGCTGGTCATTGATTATGGGGATGTAGTGTATGCACCCGCACCGCAAACCCACCTTAATAAACTTAATACGTTACATAATTCATTCTGCCGCTTTGTACTAGAATGTAATTACTTCACCCACCACTGTGACATGTTAAAAGAGCTAAACTGGCTGTCGCTGGAATCCCGACGCACTCTTCATCTTTCCAGCCTTGTGCATAAGAGCATTTCTGGGAAGCTCCCACCCTACCTGAGCAATGAGAAGAATGCTCTCCCTGGCTGTTCCCACCTCCTATAACCTCCGATCCAGTACTAGCACGATATTTAGCAAACCGCAATACAAAAATAAAGTGGCTCCATCCTCATTTCCCTACAGAGCACTGCAATTATGGAATAACCTGAGGGACACAGTCAAATCTTCATTCAATCTAAAATCTTTTAAGAAATCTATAGCAATATACCTCAGCACAGAATGCACCTGTCATGGTTGAATATAATTATTACCTGTTATGTATTAAATGTATATGTGTGTATGTATATATCGTTTATATATTGTATTTTTGTTGTTGTATCGTTTGTATATTGTATTTTTGTTATATTGTAACAATGCAATGTTTGTGGACCCAGGGCATAGTTGAATATGAGAGAAATCTCAATGTATCCTTCCTGGTAAAATATTTGATAAATAAATAAATCTGCCTGCATTAAATCAACTTGTCACTTTCCAGTTCAACATGTCAAACCGCTGTGACACCAATCTGACAAACAACGTGCCATGTTACGCTTTCTCCTGCAACGCTAGAGCCTTACCAGGGGTGATAGATATCCAAATAGGTCGAGGGGTATCTTCAGACCATATTAAAGCTGGGCAATTGAACCAGCATCCAGGTGTGTGCATGCACGGGGGGAACACTTCAGAGGTCTCAATAAGAACTGCAGCTTTTGCAAATGGTTTTAAGATATACCCACAATAAATACATGCATTAAATGCATGTTTGCATTAATTGGGGTGTATATACTGTACAAGGATTTCATATCCCCCTCCCCCCAATATGGGCAGTGGAATGTTACTTCAAGGCCAGAGTTCCGTCAACTGAAAGCATAGCCCAGTTAGAGAACACTGTAGGCACGCAGACCACTTCAGCTCATTGAAATTGTCTGGGTGCAATGTCCCATGTCCCTTAACCCTGCAATGGTAATTATTGCAGTTATTGAGGAACTGCAATAATTACTATCCAGAGTTAACTCCACCTCTCGTGGCGGTCTACCAGACAACCACTAGAGGCTTCCTGTTTTGAAACGGACCTTTGGTCCATTATCTGATGCTGGACATCCTCATGCTTGGCATGAGGACCTCCAGCGTCAGATTTTTCCCCATATGAAAGCACTGAATAATTATTTTCTATGGGGAAATCCTGATGTGAGTGCGGCCATTGCCACGCATGCGCATTAGGTCTCCCCTTGCTGGCTGATGTCAGTGGGGGAGGAGCATGGGTGGAGCCTGACCTAGTGCCGAGGGACATCGGCACTCGATTCAGGTAAGTGACAGAAGGAGTTTTAACTCCTTCAGCACCATGGGGGAGGGGGGGCACGAGGGAAGGGGGCCCTGCAGGAGCCTATAGTGCCATGAAAACGGCTTTGTTTTCCTGGCACTATAGAATCCCTTTAAATTTAAAATTCACTTTCAATTCTCACTTAAGTAAATAACCCTGATAATTTCCTTCTAGAAAAATGTAACATTAGTCTGAAGAGTTCATGAAAAACAGCCGCTCGGCATATGGCAGAGGTGGCCTGAAATACCCTACCCTTCACTTAAAGATCTCTCCTGAAGTTCATGTCCCTGCAGGGATCAGTCTGTGCACAGGAAACATTATTTAGGCCTGTAAGCTGTTGCACTCCAGTGAACAGGCGATCAAGAGTCACTCATCTGTACTGAGCAATTTTACAAACGTCAATGGACAAACACTGCATCCATACAGACGTTTCTTTTATATACAAAATACTCTGTTTGTAATAATTCTTTTTTATTCCCAACAATATTTCTTACATTCTGTTTTATTCTTTTGTTTTTTTATTCTTGTAGCCAAAATTACCTTTTTAATCACAGAGAGAACAGGTCTCTGTTTTGGATAAACAAAAGAAAATGTTAAAAGAAAACAACAACGATATTAATGTGTAATCCCACAAGTTACCATAATAATACATTTTTAACGTGCATGGTAAAATTGTTTACAGTGGTGGTATACACAGTGTATATGCAAACTGGCACAGGCACCCCCTGTGTCCACATGGTGGGGCTCAACTAAATAATAAATTGTGGAGGACATTATTATCATTTAAATAGAGCCAATACATTCCTCAGCGCTTTACAATATTATAAAGGGAGAAATTTAACAATCGATGAGACAATTACAAAAAGTTACAAAAACAATAGGTGCTCGAAAGAGCTTACAGTCTAGCAAAGGTGGGGTACATAGTGTCCCCTCCATGGCCAGTGGGTGGGAGTTATTAAATAAAATAAATGGGGGGACCTACCCATGAGAGGCGGGTGGGGGCTTTAATTATTGTTTATTTATAGATCAGTATTACTACAGATTTCTGAGCCTTTCTACCTCTGCTCTGCTGACTACCCTATCTCCAATTCACTAAGCACACCTTTGCTGAATTACTCTATCTAACCTGACGTTCTCATGGACTTTACGGCTCGACATATCTGCTCATCCTCACCTGCAAAATAGCCTAAAACTAACCCAGCACTACTCTACATCCCCACTCTTATCGTTAGACCCCCAGAACGTCTTCCACCTCTCTTCGTCCATCATTTCACCTATTCCCGTCTCTCTAACTTCTCCCATATTGAAGCTATCAGTTTAATTCAATGCTCCCTCTATGTTGTACGTTGGTTTGGACAGGGCTTAATGAATCTTCTATTACTTGTAAAACTTGCCGTTCAGCTGCGATGCTCCCACTGTATATCTGTAAAGTTCTGCGGACAGTGTTACATGGCGCTATGTAGATTCAAATAAAAATTGTAATGATGACAATATTAATAACGTGTAAGGTTCCGCTCCCACTGTGCGGTTTCCCATGGCTTCTTCAGCACATGATTCTTTACAAGACAACAACCTCCATAAATCTGTGCAGCATATGTTGCTCAATCATTTTGGTGCCTTTAAGACCGTAACGGCTAACGGTATATACACAAAAATACATTCTAAGACTGACGGATGGGCACACCATAAGTCCTGAGAACATTCCCACCGCCAGCGAAAGAGCACTTTCTGGAGAAGCAAACAGGATGAGAAGCTTAGATTGTCCAAACAAACATACAGGAGATTATACAGAACTATATAAATCACATAAATAAGGATCAGCCTAGTGTTAACATTATGTTCCGTAAAAAAGTGAAATTTGTTATTGCTACACGTGCACAACATGATACTTCACTGTGGCTCCACCAACATTGTGAGCGGAGGAGCAGCCATTGAGGACGGCTCTGCCCAGGGCTCGCAGTACCTTAAAGGAGCCCTGAGTGGCATTCTGGGCTGTGATGGAAGGTATGGAATAATGATAGTCTTTGAGGCTATTTGAGGATTGCATGTTGAGAGTGCTGTAAGTATCACACCTGTTAATACTCTGCAGTTTCTGCTGACTGCGAACTGCCATTTATAAAACAAATATGGTTCCAATTATTAAACAGAAAATCTATAAAAAGGAACTCTTCTATTCTGGCGCCCCCTCCCTTTTGATCGGTAACAGCGCTAGGTTACATCTGTTCCAATTTATAGCAAACGTGTCTTACATTTCCCAGAATCCTCAGCGACAATACTGCAACAGCTGGAAGGATACAGTTAGGATTCCATGATGGATCATTTACCTCAACAATGACTCACACTGAATACAGAGTATCAGCTGTCATGGATAAATAATAGTTTTAAAAGGAAAAATACTGCTTGGAGGTGTGTTGGTTATTCCCACGTATCCACTTGCAGGCTCTCGCATACAATATCCCAAACATCCCCATACATAAACACATTATGTGACATATCCATCCACAGACACAATTCCACAAGCAGCCCCCATACACAGCCCACATTCATAGGGACACAATACCACAAACTACTCATGAACATATACAATCTAATAGCTCATATACACACAAATACAATGATACAAAGCAACTGCAGTATGAATAACACAAGCAGAATACGGCAGCATACACACCTCAATTTAAATAAATAGGACCAGCACACTACGGCCATCACAATCTTATTTTGGCACAGTGCTGCTAAAAGGTTGCCTACCCCTGATCTAGAGGATCTGTGCCCCCCCCACCTTCTCACTTCCTAGACCCACGTTTGATCCAGGTTAGTTGATAGACTGTATAAGTGTTACCTTTCTCTCCGTTCTGTAGTTATTCGTAGAACCAGGACACGCTGGATCCATACAGTATATGACTTTGATTACTGCAGTAAATTGGTGTCTTGTAATGTCACAATTACAGCATCTCAGAGGAATTCAGTGACCTACGCTCTGCGGAATGAATAACCTCATTTTAAAAAATATTTTTTTCTTTTTTTACTATATTTTCATGTATGGATTTGCGCGATACTTTGTAGTGGTGTTAGAATGACTAGTTTATGGTTTAATGTCGCAATTAACTTGTCTAACCAGTCATTTCAGCGGACGAGGCCCAAGGCATAAAATGTTCATCCCCTCCAATCGCCAATTACCCTGAGCTAGGAAAGACTCCCTGATATACAGCCATTAAATACAGAGATTTAGCTAACCCTGTCCTCGCCCAGCCATAAAACTGATCATATGGTAGAGATCATAATAGCTGTACAAGCGGTAATTAGCCGACAAATTACAAGGCGATTCCCTTATCATTGTGATAAACTATAGTTACCGTTATTTAGAAGGGAGCGGGGATAGTGTGAGGCCTACCAAAGATGGGATGGAGGGGTCACAAGCCTTGTGTTAGGGCTTAAAAGGTTGGCCCTAGTGGGTCAACAGACTGATCCAAGAGTGATATTAGAAGCTCAGAGATATTATTATAAACACTGATTCATAAACCTGCCACCTGATATATTTTTGAACTACATTAGCCATGATGCTTAGTCAGCCACGGGATAGCATTTGGCCGTTACAAGCTGCAGGCTCACAACAGCAGAGAATTTCGGCAGATTGGACATGAATTACTCGTGGAACAAACAAAGTTATGGCATGAAAGTCTGCGAGGACAACAAGGCTTCCATAACATGTCTAAGGAATGCATGGAAAAAAGCAGATCCAAGGTCATAAAAGCTGGAAGTTGTGTTGTGATTGATAGAACCACTAAAGAATAAAGCAATTATCTTTACTGTTCCTTTAAGAGTTAGTGTTGCAGGATGCATCTACCAATATTTAAAGGTTCGGAGCCTGCTCGCTCCCACATGGAAACCCCTAGAAAATAAGCTTCATCGACCTTTAGGACAGCTGGGAGTGGAGGGGAATTCATTTTTCCATCTCATCGTTCACAGATCTTCTCTGTTCCACATATGGTGAGTTTATGGGTTTCACATGTCCGGGAATTGACTCGGTAAAGGGCGCACACACGGGAGCCGAGAAAGGTTCAGGTCAGCGAAGGGAAGACATGTCTCTACTCTATTTACTGGGTTCACTCAATGCCAGGTAACTGTGTACGATGTGCGTGATATCAGTTCACAATATCTGTTGGCAGAGCATTGACCCAACTGCAACGTACCTCCCCGACATCTCACATGGACAGACGGACACTTTAATTTTAGTGATTGGAGTGGGGTTTGGGCCAGAAGCAGGGCTGTGACTTACTAATAACAATTTATAGAACTAAAATGTAATTTATAACAAGAACATTGTACCTTATTTACACAGACTGATTTGTAGTTTAAAGTAAAGTGCCATCAATACAGCGCTACAGATCATGTTGGCATCTTATTGAGAAATGTTATGCAAATGTCACATTTAGTTGAAGGAAAATAAGATATTAAAGAAAGGGTTCTCTTTTTTTAAGGAACACCTGGCTGGAGTACAAATCCAGTAATGCTGAAATAATTAAATAGAAATAAAATGTTCTCCTCTATCTCATAAAGACATATGGAATTTCACTGCAATATTCCTCACATCACGTGCCGTTGGCACATTTAAGGGCTAGAAGCAATGTGGCCTCTCGACCTGCTGTTTGCCGATTGTGGTTTCTAAAGATCACTCAGAAAAGACAGATTGGATCTGTTTGTACTAAAAAAAAAAAAAAAAAAAATAGAATAAAAAAATGCTTTGAAACAGTTTTATTATACCAATGAGCCACACTTTCGAAGGCTTCCCAAAATTTGCCAGATGCGCTACGTGTTATATCCAAGTGCAGTGTGCGAACCAGACGGAAAGGAATCAATCACGGCAGGTTCCATGCCAAAAAACTGCAGCCCACCTAGCACAGGAAGGGTTAACGCATCCCAGGTTCCAATACGGTTCCAGCTCAGTGATCGCCTGCTATGTCGTATGATACAATCACTGGTTCTCGGCTTGGAATTCTCCGTAAAATGATAG